GCAAGCTAATCCATCGTTAGAAAGCTGATGCAGTGTGACTGCAGTCGTAAGCAGTGTGCCTCGGGTATAAACCACTGTAAAGTCTGTAGAGCAGCAGCTCAGCCTTGTCTGGCCTGGCACACTGCAGAAAACGCACAAAAGTGAAAGTTTGCTACAAAAATCTAGATATTGTGTATGAATATTTACCAGCTCTGGTTAACGCAGAGCAGAAAATAGACACTAAGAATCTCTGTGAATGTCTGTTCTCTATAGTAGACTGATGTTTATATGTATGTAAGAGTTTTATTGCTTATGTGGCATACAATATTTATAACTATATACTTTATAGAAGTACAGTATTAAAGTCAGTGGTATACATTCTGTACATATCCTGTGAAATGTGCTGTCATATGAAATAAATATGTCTTTACCACTAGATGGCTTCTTTACTCAAAAGGGAAGATTTTCTCAGCTATTTTTCATATTTTACATAAACAAATTTTATGACATTTGAAGAAAATAAGTTAGTGCTTTTTTTCTTTTTCTTTCGTGTGTGTGTGTATGGGGGGATACATGCGTGAATAAGAGGTAATTTATTCTGGAATCAAATTTGAACGATCATGGTGGATTTAGGTTACCCAAAATTCTATGATCTACCATGGAAAGCAGTTTCACGCAGTTTTATAGCTCTGTAAAGTCATAAGGCATGGCAACCTTAAAATACATCAATGGATACATCTTAGAGGCAACTACAGGATGATGCTGGAAGTTTTTTTGTGGGTATCAGAACTTTGTATTAACTTTTGTTACTGGAAGCTTAGTTTATAGATTCCAGAGGTTTTAGGGATGTTAGTCTGGCCGAGAGGAGGGCAGTGGATGGCTAGCTGTTGAAGGGACTAAGGTAGCAGAGACAGGTAATCAGCTCTGGACCTACAACAGTCGAATGTCTGCGCATCACTGCAGTATAATCAGTTACAGGGACAGCTTCTTTTTTCCACCAACAAGTAAATAATATAAAGTGCTACCACACACACACACACACACACACACACAAAGAAGTTTCCACTTCCGCCCCTCCTCCCAATACCCTCCCACTCCCCCCACTCCCTCTCCTCCTCCCTCTCCAGCCCTGAGAGCAGTCAGTGTTTCCTGCCCTGTGGGAAGTTCAAGTTCCTCCCCCCTCCCTCCAGGTCTAGGAAGGTGAGCATCCAAACAGACTAGGATCCCAAAAAGCCAGTACATGCAGAGGAAACAAGTCCCAGTGCCATTATCAATGCTTCTCAGACAGTCCCCGTGTCACATTCAGAGAATCCAGTTTGATCACGTGCTCGTTCAGTCCCAGTCCAGCTGGCCTTGGTGAACTCTCATTAGATCAGTCCCCTTGTATCAGTGGGTGAACGCACTCCTCACGGTCTTGCCTTCCTTGTTCATGTTCTCCCTCCTGCTCCTCATTTGGACCTTGGGGGCTCAGTCCAGTGCTCCAATGTGGGTCTCTTGTCTCAATCTCCATCCATCGTCGGGTGAAGGTTCCCTCTGATCCTGCCTTCCTTGCTCACGTTCTTCCTCCTTCTGCTTCTCATTTGGACCTAGGGAGTTAAGTCCAGTGTTCCAATGTGGGTCTCTGTCTCTATCTCCATCCATCGCCAGATGAAGGTTCTATGGTGATATGCAAAATATTCATCAGTATGGTTATGGGCCAAGGCCGGTTCAGGCACCCTCTCCTCTGTCCAGAGAACAATCTGGGGATCTCTCCTTGTACCTGGGAACCCCTCTAGAATCAAGTCTCTTGCAAACCCTAAAATGGCTCCTTTAGTTGAGATATATACTTCTCTGCTCCCATATCCATCCTTCCTCCCTCCCCCATCCCAATCCCCCAAGCTTTCCCCAATCCTCCTCCACTCCCTTCTCTCTAGCCCTCTCCCCTTCCATACCCTCCCCCACCCCGTGCACCCAAGGTTGCCTGGCACTCTTGTCTACTTCCAATATCCAGGAGGATAACTACATAATTTTCTTCAGGTTCACCTTCTTATTTAGCTTCTCTAGGATCACGAATTATAGGCTCAAAGACCTTTAATTATGGCTAGAATCCACTTATGAGTGAGTACATACCATATTCCTCTTTTTGTGTCTGGGTTACCTCACTCAGTAAAGCGTTTTCTATTTCCATCCATTTGCATGCAAAATTCAAGATGTCATTGTTTTTTACCGCTGAGTAAAACTCTAATGTGTATATGTTCCACACCTTCTTTAACCACTCTTCTATTGAGGGGCACCTAGGTTGTTTCCAGGTTCTGGCTATTACAAATAATGCTGCTATGAACATAGTTGAACAAATGCTTTTGTGGTATGATAGGGCATCTCTTGGGTATATTCCCAAGAGTGGAATTGCTGGGTCCTGAGGGAGGTTGACTTCCAGTTTCCTGAGAAACCGCCACACTGATTTCCACAGTGGCTGCACAAGTTTGCATTCCCACCAACGATGGATGAGAGTTCCCCTCATTCCACATCCTCTCTAGCACAGGCTATCATTGGTGTTTTTGAGTTTAGCTAATCTGACCGGTGTAAAATGGTATCTCATAGTTGTTTTGATTTGCATTTCCTTGATCGCTAAGGATGTTGAGCATGACTTTAAGTGTCTTTTGGCCATTCGAACTTCTGTTGAGAATTCTCTGTTCAGATCAGTACCCCATTTTTTAATTGGGTTAATTAGAGTTTTAGTGTCTAGTTTCTTGAGTTCTTTGTATATTTTGGAGATCAGACCTTTGTCTGATGAGGGGTTGGTGAAGATCTTCTCCCACCTGATAAACACCTTTAGTTATGTGGCAGGGTACAAGATCAGCTCCAAAAAATCAGTTGCCCTCCTATACACAGAGGATAAAGAAGCAGGGAGGGAAATCAGAGAAACATCACCTTTCACGATAGCCACAAATAGCATAAAATATCTTGGGATAACTCTAACCAAGGAAGTGAAAGACCTATTTGACAATAACTTTAAGTCTTTGAAGAAAAAAATTGAAGAGGATACCAGAAAATGGAAAGATCTCCCATGCTCTTGGATTGGGAGGATCAACATAGGTAAAATGGCAATTCTACCAAAAGCAATCTATAGATTCAATGCAATCCCCATCAAAATCCCATAAAAATTCTTCACAGACCTTGAGAGAACAATAATCAACTTTATATGGAAAAACAAAAAAAAAACAGGATAGCCAAAAACAATCTTATATAATAAAGGAACTTCTGGAGGTATAACCATCCCTGACTTCAAACTCTATTACACAGCTACAGTATTGAAAACAGCTTGGTATTGGCATAAGAACAGAGAAGTAGACCTATGGAATCGAATAAAAGACCCAGACATTAACCCACAAATCTATGAACACTTGATTTTCGACAAGGGAGCTAAAGGTATGCAATGGAAGAAGGAAAGCATCTTTAACAAATGGTGCTGGCATAACTGGATGTCAACCTGTAGAAGAATGAAAGTAGATCCATATCTATCACCATGCACAAAAATCAAGTCCAATTGGATTAAAGACCTCAACATTAATCTGACCACTTTGAACCAGATAGAAGAGAAAGTGGGAAGTAGTCTACAAGACATAGGCACAGGAGACCACTTCCTAGGTAGAACCCCAGTAGCACAGACAATAAGAGAATCAATGAATAAATGGGACCTCCTGAAACTGAGAAGCTTCTGTAAAGCAAAGGACACTCTCAGTAGTTAATTTTCTTTATTCCTCTATTTGAATTTCCTCTCCGTTTGTTTTTCTTTCCCCTTTGTCATACTTAAAGCATGAAGGGCTCTTCTACTGTGTCTGAGCACCCTGATGTATAGTGCTGTGCCTGCTTGCTGAAGAGGAAAAGGGCCAGTCAAAGAAACACACCCTGGCTCTGAGACCCAAGCCAGTGAAAGAAATTAGCCCTGAACCAAGATCCAAAGAAATGCACCCTGACTCTGAAATCAGAGCAAAGAAACACACTTTGACCCTAGAATCAGAGTCAGTGAAAGAAATATGCCCTGGCCCTGAAATTAGAGCCAAAAGGCTAAAAGGAGCCAAGGAAATAAACACTTTGGTCCTGAAAGCAAATCTGCCCTTGACCAACTAAGCACAAAACCAACCAATTCCTATGCAAGAAAACGAACCAATCACTGAGCAGAAAACCATTCAATCCCTGAGCATGAGATCTAGGTAATCCGAGCTCAAGGGTCTAAAGTCTGACTAATTTCCACCCTGAAAATCTTCTCCCTGGAAAAATTCCGCCCCTAAGAAGCCCTATAAAAGTCTTCCACCTTGACAGAGGAGTCACTCTCCTGGATTCTTCCCTCCCAATAAACGGTCTGAATGTGTTTTGGGTGAAGACCTTTCACTGGAATGGAGCGGAGCAAAACTATAACAGAAGCTGTAATAGCTTCGCTGAGGAAGCCTCTCTCTAGCGCAGTACTGTAAACTACTAAGCTTACTGTGACATGTGGTATTCCCTGGCTCCCCGATTGCCAGAATACTTTTTCATCCGAGCTGTAGCGCTTAGTATTCCTTGGTTCCCGACTGCCAGGATCCCTTTCTATTAAAGCTGCAATGCCTACACTTGCCCTTTGTGAGATTGTGGGAACAAGACTTAGTCGTACAGTCTGGGGGTTCTCAGCAGCAGAGCTCGCCACTGTGACTTCCCCAGATCTGAAGCAGAAGGCATTTCCGGAGGCGATCAGTGCCTGTGCGGAAACGAGTCTGGGCTTGGGGGCGACTGTGGTCCCATGGTGCCCACCATCCCACTCAGTTCTCAACCTGAGAGCTGCCATTCTCCGTCAGCTCATCTCCCGAGTTCCCTGGACAGTCCGCTCACCCTCTAGAAGCTTGGTTTGGGTTTCTGTTGCCCGGACCACAGCCACTTCCGGTAGCGGCGACTGCGCCTCAGGCTCCGGCGCTGGAGGCCCATCAGGCTCAGTGTTTGACTGTTGCTCCTGGCAACAGCCACTTCCGCGAGCGTGCGCAGTTCTTTTTACTCACCGGGCGGACGCGTGAGCCCGAGTTCCGGGGTTCCGCCACCAGGCAGCAGTTAGTCTCTCTTCTGTACGGGACGGGCTGGCCTGCCTGCCGCCCTACCCTCGGCGGGGCCTTCGGCGCAGCTATGGTTGTGCTGCACGTGAAGAGAGGCGACGAGAGCCAGTTCTTGCTGCAGGCGCCCGGGAGCACTGAGCTGGAGGAGCTCACGATTCAGGTGACCCGCGTCTACAATGGGCGTCTGAAGGTGCAGCGGCTCTGCACAGGTACTGCTGGAGCACAGGGGAAGGAGTGGGGAGGGCTCAGGGTTTGAGGATTTGGGAAGAGTTGCAGTAACCTGGGGGTTGGGGAAGGAGCATCAGAGATGACCCAGGATGAAAGACCAGCAACTGGAGAAATCCAGGCGAGTCTGGAACTCTCGACTCAGAGATGGGCAGCGGGGAAGCCAAGTGCGGCCCAGCCAGGATTTGGCGTTGGGCCCGGGCCCGAGGGCAGTGGGAGGGAGCCGAAAGACCCCAGCAGAACCACGGAGTTAGCAAGTGGGAGGGTGGTGTAGTAGCCGCGGGGAGGGGATTGTCAAGTGAACTCCTTTTTAAGACTTTGAGTGCTTGGGTCCTAGCCTTGAGACCGCCCGTCAACAGCGAGAGACCCTGGGAGAGCCTTGGTGTTGTTTTCTGTCTCCTAGGAAACATGTGTTACGCGTGTTATAATTGCGTTCTAGACAATGCCTTAAAACCTGTTATATTTTCTCCTAATTAAATTTAACTGCTTTCAAAACAGGCTCAATATTAGATGACATTTTAAAAGTAAAGCATTTAGGGAGAGAAAATTCCGGGTCTTCTTTAACATTGTACGTTGAAAGTGTAGTGCAGGTTATTACGGTTTTGTGGGTGAATTTAGAACCCGGATGTACTCTACAGGTGTCATTGCCAGTCAGCACTATAGTGCTCTGCTATAGGACGATGAGGGTGCGTCACCTCAGCCCCTCTCCCAAGTGCCTAGTGTGCAAATGGAAAGTGGCTGTGAACGTCCCATCCCCTTCCACCATTTATCGTGTTGTATGTGTTGTTGCAGGTCACATATATTCCCAGTATTATAGAAACACACAGTTCTTAGTGTCTTCCTCACAGGAAGGGCAGGCAATATAACATGGTTCAAAGTGTGTGTGTGTGTGTGTGTGTGTGTGTGTGTGTGTGTGTGTAGGTCTATACATATAAATATGTATATTTATAAATATTTATTATATATTCTGGTGTAGATTTGAACACGTATGAGATAGGAAAATATAAGATCATTCAATTGAATAGTAAACATGAAGTGAATGTCCTCATTTTGAGGGCTAGTTGCTGTCGTAGCCTCTATTGCTGTGATTAGATACAATCCTTTAAAAGTCACTTTAAATGTTCAGCCTCTCAAAGTCCAAACCTCTCTAAAATATCAGTCTCATGATCAGGTTCCTGTAAAGTCAACAAGTTAACAGCTTTCTTATTCCAAGAGGGAAGGACTAGGTTCAGTAACATTCAAGTCAAAGCAAAGCCAAGCTCCAGCACTGGAGACAACAGTGACAGACGTTTGGGACTCTGCTCTTCTAGGCTCCACCCTGCTCCGCCATCCAAAGCACACAGAACACATCTCATATCTGAAGCTGGCTCCACTCCACAGCTGCTCCTGTCCTTGATTGCCACCTTCACCAGTGGCACCAGTTGCCTCCTGGCCTCGCTTCAGGGTCTCACCTGCCACATGATGCCAAGCTTGAGCCTCTCTTCGTGATCCCTTCAATGCTGGGGTTTCCCAGCAGCTGCACCTTCACCCATAGCCTGTCTTGGCCTCTTCCTGTTACCAGTCTCCACTGTCCACCATAAACCCCTTCATGTCCTCAGAAACTAGTGCCATGTGGTTTCTGCACTACCAAGTTTGGATGCAGGCATGAGATGGAGCTTTGGCTCCTTTGGACTGAAGCTTGTAGACAGATGTTTCTGTCCTGCCCAGTCCCACAGCTGTTCAGTCCCAAATAAACACACAGAGGCGTATATTGATTATAAACTGTTTGGCTTATTGCTCAGGCTTATTATTAACCAGCTCTTAGAACTTAAATTAACCCATACTTCTTGTCTATGCTTAGCCATGTGGCTTGGTACCTTTTCTTAGTGAAGCCTCCTCGTCTTGCTTCCTCTGAATCTGTCTTTGACTGCTGACCCCTGAGGAAGCATTTCCCAGAAGAGCGTTTTGCCTCGATGGTGTTGGTATCTTCTTATCCATGGCTGATTGAGCTGTGATTCACTCCAGCCAAGGGGTTCTGGTCTCTTGATAACCACAGCTCATTTCTCAGGTCCGGCTGACTAGAACCACAGGGTCTTCATACAAATTATCATGTGAGTGACCCAGATCGCGTCTTTGTTTCCCTCTGAATTTTCACGAGCCAGACCTCCATTGTCTGCATTGCTCTTGGGACTCATATCTCAGGTTCCCACATCAGCCCATTAAGCTCTGAGCTTAAGCATCAATGGCTCGTCCAGCACAAAGCACATTAACATTCTTGTCCCCAAACATGGCTAGGTCTGTCCTGAGACTCCAGGATGCTGATACCAGGTTCTGTCTTTGGTAACTATCTATAGCTGTGGGGAAAAACCAACTTGGGGAGGAAAGGGTTTGTTTCTTTTTTGACGGTTTTGTCTGTGAAGGGCAGTCAGGACAGGAACCTGGAGACAGGAACTGGAGCAGAGGCCATAGAGGAAGACTCCTTCCCTCAGACTTTTTTATGCCACTTGGGACCATCTGCCCATGGGTGGCACCACCCAAAGTGTGCTGGGCCTTCCCATGTCAATCAAATGTGTGTCCTACAACTTGTCTATAGGCAATCTGATAGAGGTCTTTTCTCTGCTGAGGTTCCTTCTTCCTAGATAGTAAGTGCCAAGTTGACAAAAACCAGCCAGGACAATTGCCTTAAATCCTTCCCAGTGATTTATCTAAATTGCTTATGAAGTGTTTGTGTAAAGTTTTATGAGATAATGTATGCGTGTGTGTGTATGGTGTGTGTGTGTGTGTGCATGTATGCGTGTGTAACTTGTATTGTATGACCTTGTGTTTTTGAGACAGGGTCTCATTGGTCTGTGCAGCTGGCTGTGAAGCACCCCCAGGGGTGCCAGCTCTCTCCTCACCCCTATAGTCCTGCCCCAGTACAAAGGTTTTAAGTGTTTTTTACATGAGTTCAGGGATCCAAGTCAGCGCCTCATGCTTACAAAGCAAGCATTTTACCAAGTGAGCTTCTTTGTACGATTCTCATACAACGTTAGCCGGATGCTCTCATCAAGCCTCGGATCATAGCTCTGATATTAGGAAGGTGGGCAAGTTTAAGCAACTGTCCTGCCTCTTTCACGAGCTTCCATTAAATGGGGTCATCTGAGATTCTCCTTGGAAAATGGCAAAGCCATGTGGTGAGCTGTGTGGTTAGGCATGCGCTTTAAATGACCGTTAATCTTTTAACTCCTGAGCACAGAGCCTTAATGTATGTGTGGGGGGTGGGGGTCTGAAGCTCACTGTGCTTCCACTGCCTGCGGGTGAATCAGTGCCTTTGTCCAGGATGAAGAAAGGTCTGACACACAGCTAGTGGTGTAGTTAAAATAGTGAACTAAAGGGGCAGACCTGAGACCTAGGAGCACGCACACATGCGAGTCTGGCTGTGAGTGATCCCAGTCAGGAGTGGCTGCCCTCTCTTGTTTTTCAGAGATGGAAGAGCTGGCAGAACACGGTGTGTTCCTCCCCCCTAATATGCAAGGGCTGACGGAGGAGCAGATTCAGGAGCTGAAGCTGAAGGATGAGTGGGGAGAGAAGTGCGTGCCTAGTGGGGGCTCTGTCTTTAAGAAGGACGACATCGGACGGAGGAACGGGCAAGGTGATCGACTTTCCCCCTCCTGCCTTTGCACGTGAAGGCAGTTCTTTATGGGCCAGCAAGATGGCTCCGCAGTAAGAGTGGCATATAAACCTGACGGCTTGAGACTGAGCCCCAGAACCGAGTCCACGCACGTACCCTGGCACACACAAGTGCGCCCACATCGCGTAAAAGCATTTTTAATGCACATCTGGAAAACTCTGCGCTGTGAACCTCCTGTGCTAACCCCATCCAGGCCTGCCTGCTCCTGTCGAGTGGCCTCCTTCACGGGGTAGATGAGCCATGCCAATTTGCCATTTCCGTCCAGAAATGGACGAGCGCAGAACCATGCTCCCTAAATCCAGGGGCGCTGTCTCCACTGTGCTTAGCTCTAAGCTCGAGAGTTAGGATTGGTGTTGTATGCCACATTTGGACAGTGCTCAGGTACAATAAAGTTTTGTGGGTCAAGCGGGCACACATGTTATAATCCTAGCACTCAGGAGCTTAAGGCAAGAAGATTGGGGCATCCAGTCCAGTCTGGGAACAGAGAGAGACCCTGACTCAAAACAAGCATGCATGCGTACATACATACATACATACATACAGTTTTATTTCCTTGAGCCATCCCAGCCATGTACTGCCTTATGCCTGCGTTTGAGCCACTATGACAGGGTTGAGTCACAGCTGTGTCGCCTGAGAGGCCTGGAATTCTTCTGTTCCCTTTGTTGGCGCTGTCCTCTCGGTGGTTCCTCTGACCTGGCTTTGTAGCCGTCACCAGACTGCATAAAAGCTGCTGCGGACTTCTCCCCTTGCGGGGAACTCTGCCTAGCCCCCCACATCTATGTCCCTCTTGTCAATTCCAGGCTCACACTCGTGTCTCGGGTTCCCCGGTTCAGGCAGGAGAGTTCAAGAACACCCGGGATTTTGAAAGAGGCCATGTGTTTGACAATTGTCTGTCCTTTTTTTCCTAATAGCTCCAAATGAGAAAATGAAGCAGGTTTTAAAGAAGACGGTGGAAGAAGCCAAAGCGATCGTGTCTAAGGTCAGCTTCTCAGGAGGGTGGGCGCCCCTGAGATGCGTGCCTTAGCGCCAGCCCACATCCCGTCCCACTGCTCTCCGCTCCCCACCTTTCTGCTGCTCTTTCATTTCCAGTTTTCTCTTTTCTTTCTCTGCTTCCCAGTGGCAAAGCAAAAAAAAAAAAAAAAAAAAAAACAAAAAACCTATTTGAGGGACCCTGGCTCCTCCTTTGCATGACGATGACAGGGAGCAAACAAAGTGTTTATCGTCTTCCATCAATGCAGGCTCCCCCATACAATTTGGAAAGCTAAGCAGAGGAGTTTTTACTGTAGCCCACAGATGCAGGGTTGGTAGAGACGCTCACTATAGAGCAGTATTTCTGTAATCATCTCCAGCCTTTACATACAGCCTGTTTCACAGAAGGAACACAATACCGTGAGAGGGAGAGGTGCTCCCCTGGATAGAAAGAATTCAGGGATACTTACCTGGGGCTGGAGAGCCAGCTCAGTGGATGAAGGTGCCTGACAAGCTAACTTCGAGAGGCCTGAGCTTGATTTCAGGCCCCACATGGGGTCAGAGAGCACTGACTCCCACAAATTGTCCTCTTACGTCCCCCCCCCCCGCCATGTGCTATAGCACACACACAACAAATAAATGTAAAAACCCTTAGTATGTCACTTACCACATTTATCCACATGTAGCAGTCGCTGCCCCCACATTTGCATGTCTTGACATCACTGCCTGTCCTACACTCCCAGATTCACCCCACAAACTGTACTTCTAAGCATTCCCCAAGCTCTTAGCTAATCTTTTTTTTTTAATTCATTCTATTTCTGAGACTTTTATGTACAGCCTTGGCCAGCATGGTACTCAGTTGTAGCCCGAACAGACCTTGAACCCATGGCAGTCCTGCCTCAGCTTCCTGAGGGCTAGGGTTACAGATGTGCAGCTCTGTACCCCTGCTCAGTCTTTGAGGGACCCATGGAAAGCTGTTGTGTGTGACGTGAAGTCCCCGAAGTGTCACCAGCGCCTTCTGGTGTGCCAGGATCCGGGAGCAAACAGTAGATGCATGCTTTATGTGGCTCTTTCCTGTGTTCTCTTCAGAGCCTTCTGGCTGATGTCCCTCTAATTTGGTCCATGTTGTACCCACTGCAGCTCGGGATCCGTTTCCTAACACGTGGTGGACTCTGGTTCCCCCTTTCCACTCCCACCTGCCCAAGGCCGTACCTGTCCTAGGCAGCCTGCTCCATCTCCGGCTCTTCGTCCCCTCCTCCCAACTATCCTGCTGGGTGTGGGTCTGCCCTGAGCATTGCAGACCTCTCTGGTGTCCCTCACAGTCTGCTTCTGGCCTGGGCCATCGTGTCCTCAACTCAGCCCTGAAGTGGGCAGCAGTCACCTGGGAAGCAGCAACGCTCTGGTCCCTTCTGTGGCTGTGTTGGCAGGGTCTCTGGGGGCCTCATATGAAAACCGGCTGGGTGTTTATTGACTTTTGCCTGGTTCACTTTCAGAAACAAGTGGAAGCTGGAGTCTTTGTTACCATGGAGATGGTGAAAGATGCCCTGGACCAGCTTCGAGGGGCGGTGATGATCGTTTATCCCATGGGGCTACCACCATACGATCCCATCCGAATGGAATTTGAAAATAAAGAAGATCTGTCAGGAACTCAGGTATGCTTGGAGGTTGTGGGGCGAGGAAGGCGCTGGAGCCTGCCTGTGCCTGAAGGTCCCCCCGCTAGGCTCCAGGGTGGGACGCGTGTGCCTTCCCTCTTCAAGCCAGTTCCTTGTGCTTGTACGACTGACCCCAGGCAGCACTGGAAGTCATTCAGGAGTCGGAAGCGCAGCTGTGGTGGGCTGCCAAGGAGCTGAGGAGGACGAAGAAACTCTCCGACTATGTGGGGAGGAATGAGAAGACCAAAATCATCGTCAAGATCCAGCAGGTGTGTGAGCAGAGGCTTCTGCTTTATGAGTTGTGTTGTGTGTTCACCTTCGGCTCAATGAAGCCTAGTCAGTGTTGTGTGTTCACCTTCGGCTCGATGAAGCCTCGTCAGTGTTGTGTGTTCGCCTTCGGCTCGATGAAGCCTAGTCAGTGTTGTGTGTTCGCCTTCGGCTCGATGAAGCCTCATCAGTGTTGTGTGTTCGCCTTCGGCTCGATGAAGCCTCGTCAGTGTTGTGTGTTCACCTTCGGCTCGATGAAGTCTCGTCAGTGTTGTGTGTTCGCCTTCGGCTCGATGAAGTTTTACAGAAAATCTAAATGATTTTTAAACCTGTGCATACTCTCAGCCCTATTGGCCCCAGTTTAAAGTAGAAATTTCCTTTTTGTAATATCTCAACCAAAAAAGCAGGTCTACATGCAAAAATGTTCCTGGTAATGGAAAATTCAGCCAAGACATATTCTAGGGCTTCTGAGGCTGCTGGTGTTCCGTGCTGAGAAGGGCTGGAGGTGTAGGGAGCGTCCAGCTGAGGTATCTCCACTTAGGTGCTCCTTTTCTGTGGAGTTTTGGGAACAAGGCCTGTAGATTTCTGTTTCTCAGGCTGTGGCTCTAAACGCCCTCCCATCCACCCTGGGTTCGCAGTGGGTTCCTTGGAAATGGCCATGGTAGAGATGGCATCCACCACAAGTCCAGAGCCCCAGCAGTGCTGGTGCCCATGCTGCATGGTGGCATCTCGGCCTGCTGACTTCACTGTTGACAGAGACAGTTACAAAATAAGCACGTAAAATGTTCCCATGTCCCCTGCACAAAGAATGTCTCAGACTCCAGTTTGCTCTGTGTTTGCCTTTCAGAGGGGCCAGGGTGCACCAGCCCGGGAGCCGATCATTAGCAGTGAGGAGCATAAGCAGCTAATGTTGTTCTATCATAGAAGACAGGAGGAGCTCAAGGTAGTCGGAGGGATGGTTGGGCTGGGGGAGGGTGGGGTCAGGGAGGGCAGAGCTAGACACAGAGCTGGAGCTGCAGCCTGCATCCCATGTCTCACCCGTGGGCGGGGTCCTATGACGACCACACAATGTTAGGAATGGCCTTTCTGGGCTCTCCAAGGCTGTCATGGACCCTGGAGGGTCCTGCTGGCATGGGGGGAGGTGTGGTGCAGGAAGTGACCCAGACCTTCCTCAGTCTACATGAACCACTCTCCTGAGATGCCATCCTGAGTAAAGCATGTTTGTTTCCAGAAACTGGAAGAAAATGATGACGACTCCTGTCTGAACTCTCCGTGGGCCGACACCACGGCTTTGAAACGACATTTTCACGGGGTAAAAGATATAAAGTGGCGACCCAGATGAGGCCATCAGAGCCACCAGCCCACCTTCCCAGGGCAAAATATTATAAATACTATAAAAGACATAGATGTTTCTATTTTCCAGTTTCTTTTAGTTTGTATTTTTGAAGTAAGGCATTCGTGGTTTTAGAACTTAATAAATACATACTCAAGAGAAACTGTATAGCTCATTCTCAGTCTAGGACAGTTGTGTGGCGTCTAAGGATGTTCTCTGGGGCGCAACAAAGCTTTGCGGGTGGACTTGTGTGGCATCTAAGGATGCTCTCTGGGATGCACCGAAGCTTCGCAGGTGGACTTGTGTGGCATCTAAGGATGCTCTCTGGGGCGCACCGAAGCTTCGCAGGTGGACTTGCACCCATATCCTTAGCTTCCTTGTCTTGTGTTCTCATGTGTTGAAGAGGACCTGAGCGTTTCCTCGGTTTTCTCTGCAAGATGAAATACAGCGGACGTGGAACTTGACCGCAGTGGCCACTAGAGGCTGCCAGCTGCAGGCTCGTCTTTGAGATGAGTGGAGAGGGATGGAGTCTGCTTTAAGGCAGGAGGGCAGCCGCTTTGAACTCCGGGTGCATGTCAGATATTCTGCATATCAGATGTTTATATTAGTATTCATAACAATAGCAAGATCACAGTTAATGAAGTAGCAACGAAATAATTTTATGGTTGGGGTCACCACAACATGAGGAACTGCTTTAAAGGATTGCAACATTAGAAAAGTTGAGAACCAGTGCTCTAGGATAAACCCACTCACAGATCTGACCCAGGGGTCAGCTTGGCTCCTGGTTGGTGCCCCCGCCACCACCGCAGTCTTATCTGCCAGGAGGAGAGGCCGCCTGTGTTGTAGGTTGGTGGGCAGCTGTGCATAGCTAGGCTATGCATCCTGGCATCTCGATTCTATAGTTAACCTTTCAAGTCTCCTTCACTAGAACAAGACAGGAGAAGGGGCCCTGACCCTGGTGCAGAGCTGCTCCTCCTAGTGCAGTGCTACTGTTCCTGGCGTGCGCTCTGACCCTGGTGCA